CCCCCCCCCCCCCCCCCCCCCCCCTCGGTGTTCGCCATCGGGGTTGGGTAGTATAACAAGCCAATACACTTCGTGAACTCGGCAACCAGATTGTAACCGTTTTGTTCTGTTTATTACCTCTGTTTTGTTTTTTGCGGTAACCATAATGGTGGTCGAGTAGATCATGTTGTGCGGGGTCGAGAACCCTCACTCCGCGCAAGGGGGATGATCGCACCACGTTGTGTTAAAATGGTCAAGCACCCTCGAGGCAGTTACACAGTGCTTACAACTGTCTCTGGAAGTGAAAGCACCAGAAAATAAATTAATTCATACGTAGCTGTCATCCGTACGCAAGGAAGTAAGCACAAGATGCCGAACACCCTTAGCAGGATGCAGCGCACCCTTCATGCGACTCGCCGAATATCTCACGGCGCTTCGCGCTTGGTGATGTGAGAGCCTGGTCCGGTGAGAACCCGGCGTGCTCCGTCCCGGCTTTGTAGGGATGCGAGGTCAATGGTCTAACGACTACGGCATGCACGACTATGAGTACACCCCCCTGCCCCCCCCGCCTTCTCACGCGTTTCCTAGGAAGGAGGAGGTACAACCGAACCAGGAGACATTCATGAGCCTGATAGATCTGGCTTGCATGTCTGACGGACTCACCGAGGTACGTATACACGACTGGTGTACGTGCATTGTTTTGATTCCAAAGAAGAAATAATCAAGGGCTGAGGTTGTCTGTCGTGTGTAGTGTCCCATCGCCGCCCTTCGTTGGTTCCCCCACGCGCACAGCGTGTTGCATTTTTTATCGCCATTTTTCTGTCCGGCCCTATGCTGTTGGAGCCTATTGGTCGATCAACCGCAACAAATCGGATATGTTTTGAACGGATAGAGAAATAATTTTTGACAGATCATACTCGGTAAATTCCAGGACAGCTCACTGTTTGAAGGCAAAACTGTTCACTTCGCACACCCAAGTTGTCACAATCTTCGGGGAGGTTAGTCTCCTCGAAAGCGCTCACTTGATGCGCCCTGCGTAAAGCGTCTTGTGGTTGTTTGTATCGTACCCGCGTCATCTGTGACCTTGTTACATCATATGCACCCCTTGGACGGATCTCTGCTGCCGACCCTCCCCCTTGGAGATGGAGAAAGCAATGCTTGGGGCCGGGCTCCCCGCACGCTTCACTTGGACCCGCCGCCGCCGTTGCCGGGGGTCGTCAGTGCCGCCTTTCGCTGATGGTTGCTCCTTGCAATTTCTTCCTACTTTTTATTTTACCTGTTCTTCTCTTCCTCCTTCAGGACTTCGCGAATGACCTCGTGGAGCGGATGACAAGCAAGCACGGCCTCCGTCTCGAGCAGGACATCGTCGACACACTTGCAAGGTCAGCCCGTCCATCCCCACAGGAACCCCACGACCCCCCCCCCCCCCCC